CTGTTTCTGGTTGTTGTCATTAGTCCTCTGTATTAAGTCCACATTTCAGTTTCCCCAGTCCGGTCATTGGGTGCGTTCGACTTGCTTACAGCGCTGACTTAAAGCAACGCATTCTGATCCTGACGCAATGCATTACGGTTAGATGCTCTATTAGTACACGTAAGTTAGTGGTTTATTTATTGCTAGTTACTGTACTGTTGCGCTGCTTTATTTGGTTAATCTGTGAAGAAGGCATTGAAGTAAGAACTGCATTGTAGTATGACTCATTTCCTGGCGCGTACAATTTATATTAGGTCAGCGTTCACGGTTCGACTTCTGATATTCAGATCGAGTTCTAGGTCAAACTGGTTTGTTCGATTTTCAAGAAATTCGAGTTCTAGTGAGTTTGAGAACCGAGGTACCACTGTATATTTGGTATACTACTGTATGCTGAGTACAGTATTGTTGCTCTCATGGCTGGCCACCCCCCCCCCCAGCTCACCTGCCCATTGAGAAGAGCCCAAAGACACCAATGGCCCACAGGAAGCTGCTGTACTCATACTGGGAGCTCAGGATGTCAATCACATTCCCAGTGGCATAGGGAACGAAAGTCTCTCCTGCGGAAATGAGGGGCGGGAGTTTTTACGGCTCTTTCACTAACTGCACACCTGCCGCATCCTTATCAGTCCACTAGAGGGCACATTCTAAGTAGAAATGGCTTTACTGTTACAGTGGATGAAACACTTATCCCAAGTGAAGGGAGTGGACATGCAAAATGGAAGTTATTATATGAGTGACAATCTCATCCTTTGTGTATGTAATGCTGCTGTCTGATACAGACTCCACACTCCCTGCAGACCTGCGATGGGGAAGATGCTGGACAAATGGCTGGATAAGCAACTTAAAACTCGCTGGAATTTTCTGGGCTGAAAATTACTTCTATTGGACTGGTATGTGCTGTGATCACGATTTTTTTTATCCCGATTCTTTTACAGTAACTTAAAAATCATAATATGTATTATGTATTATGATCAAAATCATAATACCAGTTTCCACATATTACAAATCCAACCTCATACAAATAAAACCAACAGCTGAGATGCAGAAAGGTGAACACTGAGCCCCAAGCTTATAAATGCCTACCCTCTATTTTCAAACCAAAATGACAATTTAATCCTTTTTTATCTCCAATTTCACATAAAATTCATATATTTGATACTCAAACTTATCTAAACCAGGGGTGGCTAATCTTATCCGCAAAGGGCTGGTGTGTATGCAGGTTTTTGGGATAACCTGTAGGTCAGCTGTTCAAACCCAGGTGTGAGGACTCTTCCGCCAATCAGTCCTCTGATTAGTAATCTAATTAGGGAGATGCAGCGAAAACCCGTATACACAGCGGCCTTTTGCGGATAAGATTGGCCACCCCAGTCTCAAACCCTTTCTTAAACTGTGCAAGTTTTACTCATTTTTAAAGCATTTTCTAAATTGCTCCAAATATTAACTTCTTTAACCAAAATGCATTTACTTTTTACCACGGTTTGTGTCTTTGGTTTGATAAATATATTACTGCCTTTAAGATGATCCTGACTGTGTTTGTTTATTTTATGCTGTGTTTATATGAGGCCAGCTGCGGGCCACACTAGTACAGCAGGTATGCACTCACCAGCGACGGCCAGAATGAGGAAGAGAAAGGCTACAGCCAGGTGCGGGGCGTCTGCGCGAGAGTAGCGCACCACCCTCATCAGGAGCGCCTTGGCCTCGTGCTTTTTCTTCGCCGCCCTGCGGTCGGCCCTGTCCTCTGGGAAGCTGAGCTCCCAGAAGAGACAGGCGCCGGCAGATGACACCGTGAGCAGGGCCACAGCGGCGGGGCCCGGCAGCAGGGTGACAGGGACACCGCGGTGCAGGGCATTCCGGACACTCTCAAACACGGGGCTCAGCAGACTGTGCGTCGCCACCCAGCGCTGCAGCCAGGGCCTCTCCCTGCCGCTCGCCACCGTCGCCCGGGATACCCAGTACAGCAGGCACCACCGCAGCAACCCGAAGGTCCACAGCCCAGCAAGCCCCACGGAGCATGGGACCCCCACCAGACACGTCCCGCTCCACAGCGCCCCCCAGAGAGTGAGGTCACAGAACAGAACCAGTGTAAACACCCCCACGTCGCTGTCCACCATCCTCAGGGGCCTTTAAACAAAAAAAAAAAGACAGAAGGTCAACAAAATGTTTTATTTAGTTTGATATGTAATGGTAAAATCAATAGGTTCATGCACTTTACAAAATTTTATTAATTCGCAGTCTTTTCGAGTGGCAAAACACGTTCGTGTATGTAACCCGCTCCGTTATACCTGCAGCCGCTTAACCAACGTTATAACATTAAATCGTTCACTAATATCACTAAAACATAGCCAAAGCTTCAAAGCTTGCTTAAAGGCCTTTATTTGCTCAGGTAATCTTAAACATCCATGCGGCTTTGATTCGTATAATGCGGAATAAAAAGGCATTTAGTCTTTCGATAATCGGAAATAATGCCGTGTAGCAGCAATTCTTTAGAAAAACGGTAAACAGAAAATATATCAGGTTGTCTTAATAACAGCGTGCTATGTGTGACTGAAGATTATCTGTAATAAAAGCCAAGCGAAATGTTACTCTTACCGATTCTATTTCTGTTCATACCCCGGTACAGAGAGACAGTTTCACTTTCACTTTCAAAGGAAGTAGGAGTGGTTTAAACTAAGGACGTAAAGATGCATCGTGATGAATCAGTTATCAAGGTGGCGATTCAACTGCATCGATCTGTAACTTTATAATCGGTTATAACCGATTTTGGTGGCAAATTCAGATCCTCCCAGTTCTAGGTTGCGCGCCCCGCGTTCACGTACTGCAGGTGCGTGCACGTAACACGCAATTTCCAGTTCCTGTAAACCGCGCTCTGGCTGTGACCGGGCTTCCAGTTGTGTCGTAGCTGCGATCCAGAAATCGTTTTCATTTGCTATTTGACAGGTGGTAACTACTTCTTTGGGGTAATTTTCCATCAATCCATCTATCCATTTTGTATACACTATCTATATGGTCAATTTTACTTCTAGTATGACCTCTACTCTGATCTGATATGGCTTTTGCTCAGATAAAAAATGGTTCACTTCTACCTGCCCATCTGTCCATTCAGATGTATAATGTTGTTGATAATTTTTTTTATATAAGTTGTGTTTATATCTGCCCATTTGTTAATTCTTTCTTCATTCTGAACAGATGTTGGTGTTTAGTGTGCTGTTTCTTTACCCTCTGAGCTAAAGGATCTCCACCGTGTTCATGGTCTATCTGTCTGACCCAGAATAATCCGTATTTAGCTTTTTTTTATGTACTATAGTATCATATTCTAGTCTGAGTTTATTTAGTTTCGCAGAAGTGGAGCTGCCCCGCAGGGATCAGTGTTTTCTCTCCAGATCTTTCATGTCTTTGTCTAATTTCTGAAATCTAATGACATTGTTTTTTTAGTTATGTTGAATAAGGTTGCCCCCGCATTCCAGCATCGCCCTTTTGATAAAATCTAAAGATCATTCTTCATGTAGTATATCCCAGTTAAGTACCCGGCCTTTCTGACCATTTACACTGGCTTCATCTCCCGGTTTAATAATAACAATAAAAAAAATAGTATGAGACTCTACTTTCTTTGTGCTCCATTAACAGTTTGTAATTAAGTTCTCATGGTTGTATTTGTGTGTTTTTCAGTAAAGTTATAAAAGGTTTCAAATTAGGTTATGAAAATAACTGAATAATCAATTAACTGGATCATGGAAGAACATTCCCACAGTTTAAACCACTATGAATAATAATAATAATAATAATAATAATAATAAATGAAATTAAAATAACAGAATATCCTAAATTGTATTAACATGTTTCACATTCATGTCAATATATTGTGGGACACTGTCATGTGTGTCAGCTTTTCACAAATATTAAAGCGAGTTTTGCAGGTATGGATATATGAAACATATTTCCGTGACCTGGCCTTGTGAAGATAATTATTTCAAAGTTTGCTTTGTCACACAGGAAGAAAATGGAAGAAACTTTCAGTTACATAAGAACAAGTACACTGTCATTTTGATTATTAAACATACTTATACTGTGGTGAAAGAAAGAAGCAGACAGAAATTAAATGAAGTGATAAAACTTTAATACAGCGATCACTGTGGTGTTACATCAGTTGGTCAGTATTCAAAGTACTAAACCTTGATGCAGATGTTTGGCCAATCACATGATCAGGGCACATGGTGTTATGGGAATCTCCAGGTTGTACGGGCACACACAAGCAGGGGTGCAGGAACCATGGGGAATTTCATTTCATTCATCCCTGTCCATGCCCCCTCCCCAGAACTTTTCGTTTAAATGAATGTTGTGTCCCCCAGTGTCAAATTCCCTCCTAGGCCCTTGCACATGGGCTGAGGGACCACCCACCTGGACCTCAGGACAGTATTACATTCCGGCACAGCGGCGTCTCACACCTATGGGCCAGTACCGCTGGAGCACCGCCGATTTAAACTACATTCACAAAAAGTGTGGTTCATTGGATTTGAACCATATCCTGTCCCATGCTACGACACTGAACTTAATTCTAGCTATTCTAAGAAGAATTTCCCTCTGTCATATTAAATACAACAGAATATTAAATAAAAATATACTTCAGATCATAGGCCTACATACCCCTTCTACACATACACACTAAGTTAGAAGTCTAAAATTCACCTTTTTAGACTTTAGAGGAACATCTTAAAGGAGACAGTGTTGGTAATTTTGGTTATACAGTACAGTACAAACAAACAGCGTATGTCATGGCTTGTTGCAATGATAACGCAGCTCAATTAAAAAAATAGATTTATTTGGCACAAAACGCAAACACATTTTACTGAAACCAGTGCAACCTGAGCCCTGACCTGAATCATGAACAGACCCAATGCCTTTAACACAACAAACCTCATGGCTGTTTGTGAGAACAACACGTTTTTATATCGGGCTGAACTGTAAAATATGTCCTTAAATGGTAAATGTCTTTTTTCACATTGTCAATCACAGAAAGGCTATCCTTACTGGGGATACAATCTCACTGGCTGTTTTCTGTGTCTTGTTTTGTCTTTACCTGAGATAGACTCAAGAGCTGTTTAACAATATCAAAATAATGCTTTTTGTTGTTTTTTTCTAAGGTCCATTTCATCACACTGTTTTTCGATTTTTCGAAGCTGTCTTCTCACACCGGCTCTGTCAGTCTGTGTTATAAAATTAACACATAATAGATTACTGCAGTTGGCCTGAGTGGAAGCTGTGAGCTGGAGTGGGTTTGGTTCTGCTGGGAGGCAGGGAGAGTCGGCTGCACCCAGTATATCACCAGGCACTTTGCAGGCTGATCTCACATGGAAGTTGGGCGGATTTCACCCAGAAACGGTTTCTGAGGCGAGGAGGCCGCAGACCAGTGTTTACACAAAAATACAAAACTACAAAAAGGAGTGCAACCCCCGGGACAGTGCCCCCCAATGCCAAGCAGAAAACAGAGCTCAGGTGGGCAGCTGGCAACAAATCCTCCGTCCACCAGACACTCACCAAACAGCTCCGGAGGGGACAACATGGTCGTCCTGGAAGTCTGGGTGACAGGCGGTTCCAAGCTGTATTTGACCTGTATTTGAACTCTGTGTGTGTGTGTGTGTGTGTTTGTTATTATTACATTGTGGGGATCAGATTTCACCACAATGTATTAAAAACTTAAGGTTAGGGCTCAGTAGGGGTCAAGGTTGTCATTGTTGGGATTAGGGTTATGCTGATAGAAATTGGTATATTAAAAGGTTTGAAAACAAAGTGTGTGTGTGTGTGTGTGTGTGCGTGTGCGATTCACAGTCGCCTGTGCAGGGCAAATATCTCCAGGTATTTTCTCCATGGCTGCCTGTCTGGGGGGGGCTCTCTCTTCTCATGACCACACTTGAGTCCGGCTCATGCGATGTTGGCACAGACCGTCTCTCCAGGGGGAACTTCCACTCGTTGCAATGGGACCCCCCCGCCGTCCTGACAGTCCGCCATGTCGAGCGAGGGCTTGGGGAGTGACTTGTGGGGACCCGCGGCCTGCCTGGTCTCGGTGTGGTTCAGCCAGTAGAACGACACCATGATGAAGATTGCGGAGATAACAACAATGACGCTGCACACATAGAACACGTGGATGTACTGGTCTGTGGTGTCCACCAAGACGCCTGAAAGATCAGGACAGGGGCACGACATTAGGAAACCCTGAGGATTTGGCTTGATTCCCGATGCCCGATTCCTGCCGCCTTGAATACTCAAGTGAAACATCTCAGGAACAGGGTGGAACAAAAGACCTGTCACCTGACAATGGTGACCCGCCCTGTTACATTCAAACACAGTCAAAAGACCATGGGGGAGGCTGTTGGAGACATTGTGTACCCACGTCATGTAACATGCGTGTGCCTGTCATAGCTACGTTTACGCCTAAACCAACAATGATAAACTAAGGCACTCGATTACCCCTGTATGCAGGCCTGTCCACTGATAACAGCTATCTGCCTGAAATACTGTCAGCCACATTCTGCCACACTAAAGTAACGAGTAACAGAGTATAGAGTAAACGTACTGCGTGCATATAAGCTGATGTCTAAGTGGAACCAGTTTAAATAAAGTTCTATAGTTCAAACCCCCCCCACACTTACATGGCATGCCGGGCTCCACCCACCTGCGAGGGGCGGTCCCAGCAGCAAGGTGACGCTCTCCATGACGGACAGGAGGCCAAGGGCGGCAGGGAAGCGGCTGGCCTCCACGACGCCCATGAGCACGGTGAAGAGCAGCGAGCCCACCACGCTCATGGTGAGGCCGAAGGCCACAGCGTAGGCCAGCAGCACCGAGAAGCTGGCAGCCACGCCGCAGATGCTGTTGCTCAAACCATTGGCCAGTAGCGCCACGGAGAACACGTACACGTGGCGACCCTGGAACCAGGGCCTCTGGAAAAGGATGCCGGCCAGCGGCCGCGCCACGATGTTGATGACGCCCATGACGGTGAGGAGCAGGGCGACGTGGCCCTTCTCCATGCCGTTGGTGGTGGCGTAGGGCACCAGGTACACAAGGGGCACCACGAAGCCCAGCATGGCCCACGTGATCCCGATGGAGTAGTAACGATAGCGCCGGTTGTTACAGAACACGTCAAAGGCCATGTGCTGGCGCACGGCTCTTAGCATGCTGAGCATCGCTGCCCTCACCCGCCCCATCCTGCCCCTCGCCGGCGGGGGGCCCTCGGCATGCGTCCCGAGGCTCTGGGGGGCGGGCCGGGGGGCACCCCTGACAGGCCGCATGACGGCGCCGCACACGCAGCAGTTCAGCAGGAGCCCCCCCAGCACCAGGAAGCTGCCCCTCCAGCCCAGTTTGCTGCGCAGAAAGTTGGAGAGGAAGGGCAGGATGGACAGGCCGATAGCTGTGCCCGTGGACGAGACGGCGTTGGCGAAGACGCGGCGGCGCACAAAGTAGTAGCGGAGGATGGTGATGGCCGGCTGGAAGCTGAAGCAGAAGCCCAGGCCTGCGAGGAGAGACGCAGTGTGTATGGACAGGGGGACATAAGGTCTGTGACTGTAATCTGTAGGTCTGTGACTGTCTGTAACCTGCAGGTCTGTGATAATCTCTAATCTGCAGGTCTGTGATAATCTCTAATCTGCAGGTCTGTGACAGTCTCTAATCTGCAGGTCTGTGATAATCTCTAATCTGCAAACCTGTGACTGTCTGTAATGTGTAGGTCTGTGACAGTCTCTAATATGCAGGTTTGTGATAATCTCTAATCTGTAGACCTGTGACTGTCTGTAATGTGCAGGTCTGTGACCCGGTTCAGGTCACTAAATAACCAGTGACCTGCAGCTGTGCCCACTGTACTGTATCGCATACTGCTGTTAAAATTCCACTTCCTCACTATATTAGCAATGTACTGCCTCTGGCTATTTGGTCCTGTGCTTTGTGTGCTGTGTCACTGCTTAACTTGCAGCTGACCGCTGACCTGTGATGAAGCCCGCAGTGAAGTAGAGCTCGCCGATGGTGTTGGTGAAGCAGCTGGCGACCATGCCCACGCCGCTCAGGACCCCGCCCAGCATCACCGTGGCACGGCAACCAAAGCGCTCCACCAACACGCTGCAGAAGGGGCCTGTTTTCATGAAGGAAGCACAGAAAACATCTGAACACCAGCACAGGAGCCAGAGAGACACACCACTGGTACAGATGCTGCTTCACAGTGAGCCGGCCTCAGATGACTGAGCTCTCGGGTGACAGGCCAAATGGCCAAATGAATGTGGACATCCCTATTAATTGGAGATACTGGCTGATTAAATCACACCCATTACTGACACGGGTGTATAATTAAACATACAGAGATGTGATCTCCTGCAATAAGCCTTAGCAGCAGAGCAAATGCTTGTACAGAGGAGATTAGTGATTTTCCACTTGGCAATATCACAACACCAACTTCATATTAAGAATTAGAATTTGGCGATCAGTGTTGACACACCACAACAAAATGTGTCCTCTGCGTTTAACCCATATGTGACAATGTGACATAGCAGGGGGCAGCTAATTCAGCACCCGGGGAGCAGTGCTTGGGGGCGGTACCTTGCTGGTCGGGGATTCGAACCTGCAAGCTTTCAATTACAAGTGTGCTTCCCTAACCATTAAGCCACCACTGCCCAGTGGTTTCAGAATGGGGGCAGCATGGCGACACAGTGGTTAGCACTGCTGCCTCACACCTCAGGGACTGGGGTTTGAGTCTCGGCCCCAGCTCTCTGTGTGTGGAGTAACTGGAGTTTGCACCTTCTCACCTGTTATTTTGACATTGTGGGGACCATTTTCCCCACAAAGATCTGTGAATGCAATCAAAAAACGGAACATGCCAAAGTCTCATATATTCTGTTTGGTTACTTATGGTTAAGGTTAGGGCTGGGTAGGGGTTAAGGTCGTCATGTTGGGATTAGAGTTTTCCACATAGAAACGAATGGAGACTCCCCAAAAAGATATAATTGCAAATCTGTGTGTGTATGTGTGTGTGTGTGTGTGTGTGTGTGTGTGTGTGTGTGTGTATGTGATTGTGCAGAGTTGTCTCCCCATCACGGAATGCTCTATGCCTTCAGATCCCCATGACCCTGAATAGGACAGGTGGGGGATGGTGGATAAGCTGGTGTCCACATACTTTTAGCCATACAGTGCATCATCAGCATCTTCAGTCACATGCCATACATCCAGCCACACTCAGAAGGCCTGTGATGCAGAACCAAGGAGCCTCAGGACACACCTGCGAGGAGCCTCAGGACAGAGCTCGCGCCAGAACGGCCAGTCAGCAGTGTCAGTATTTTACTGCGACATAAAAAAACCTAAAAGTCGTGCCTGACAACTTCTCCATCTATCTGACCAATTCTCTGCCTACACAATATGAACAAATGTATCAGAACACACCTCCTAATATTCAACCACGAAGTAGAGGACCATGTAAAGTAACAGAGTGGGGTCGCCGAGTGCTGAGCTGCATGGTAGGCATGGGCCGATCCACCTTCTTTCAATTCCGATCCGATTCCGGTACACATCTGCCGACACCGATACGAGAGCTCTTTTTACTTTAATATTTTGGCGATGGGCAGACCGAGACAGCAGCGAACAAACACGAAGATGCTCTTTTAACAGTCCTTAAAAGGACCGCACTTAAGCAACAATAACACAGCAACCGTAAACGGTAGGGAGATGCAGTTTAGTTACTCTGAGCACGGTAAGGCACACACATGACGGGTACTCCAAACACAGCCAAACACATGGGAATCAAGCACAAATCTGTACAGGACACCAGTACGAGAACACGCAACACACAGGAAAAAGGTACATCAACATACATGATATAGACGGGCTCATGAGTATGCCGGGATATTCAATACCCGGCCTCACTGCAATATTATATATATACACACACACACACAGACACACAGACACACAGACACACACACACACACACACACACACAGTAGTATATATTTATGCTGTATATATTATCAATAATTTTTAAACTAGTATATACCAATAATTAATGCATGCAAAACAATCTTTAATTAGCTACTAGAAACATATATAACATACTGTTCCACCTGGTTTGTACATCTTCTTTTAAGCATTTTGAACCATTTTGAGTTTTTTTTTTTAAATATCTTCCAACCAAGGATACGCAGATGCTTAAAATGCCCCATAACTTTTCTCCTACTGGCAAAAGCGGCACTCACCCTTCGCTGTGATAGCAGCTACTTGTGTATCACAAGCTGTAGCGAGTGTGAGAAACAGCCAAAGCTAGCGACTCCCAAATCATCCACTGCTTTTTTCATATTACTCACTTTGTCTAGTGGTATTGTCCACTAAACGATGCTGCCACCTGTCAAAACTTTATATTATGAAGATTGCAAATCACTGTCTAGCACATACAGTAAAAGTCACCAAAGCTCTGTTGACTCACTAACTGCAGAGTTCAAACTTTCTCTGCCATTAACTCCAGCACAGAAACTGTGCACTGGGAGCTTCATGGAATGGGCTTCCATGGCCGAGCAGCTGCATGCAGGCCTCACATCACCAAGTGTCTGATGGAGTGGTATAAAGCACACTGCCACTGGACTCCGGAGCAGTAGAAATGTGTTTTGTGGAGTGATGAACCATGATTCCCTGTCTGGCGGTCTGATGGATGAGTCTGGGTTTGGCGGATGCCAGGAGAATGGTACCTGACTGCATTGTGCCAAGTGTAAAGTTTGGTGGAGGAGGGATAATGGTATGGGATTGTTTATCAGGGGTTGGGCTTGGCCCCTTAGTTCCAGTGAGGGGAACTCTTAATGCTTCAGCACAGCAAGACATTTTGGACAATTCTAGTTTTCCAACTTTGTGGGAACCGTTCCTGTTCCAGCATGACTGTGCCCCAGTGACAAAGCAAAGTCCATAAAGACACGGTTGGACGAGTTTGCTGTGGAAGAACTTGACTGGCCTGCACAGACCCCTGACCTCAACCCCATCAAAAACCTTTCAGATTAACTAGAATGGAGATTGTGAGCCAGGCCTTCACAACCAACATCAGTGCCCAACTTCACAAATGCCCTTCTGGATAAATGGGCAAAAATTCCCACAGACACACTCCATAATCCTGTGGACAGCCTTCCCAGAAGAGTGCCAGCTGTTATAGCTGCAAAGGGGGGACCAGCTCCATATTGATGCCTATGGGTTTACAATGGGATGTGATAAAAGTTCCTGTGGGTGTAATGGCCAGGTGTCCTAATACTTTTGTCCATATATTGCAGGGGTGTCAAACTGCAGTCCTGGGGGGCTGGAGCCCTGTGTGGCTTAGTTCTTTCCCTGTTCCACCACAAATGATTCCACTCCAGGGGTATGTGGTAATTTGCACAAGGAGTTGAATCAGGTGTGTTAAATGAGGGGAAACCCAAAAATGTGCAGGGCTCCGGCCCCCCAGCACTGGAGTTTGACACCCCTGATATAGTGTATCTAACCAGCTCTCCACCTATGTCAACACTTTCCCTGGGCATGTAGAATAACCCCCCCATTTGATCCATAACTTGTCCATCTGCTCCTTCACGCTACATTGAGAGTCGTAGCCACCACTGGGACACCAGGGTGTCAGCAAATGCCGCCGCACGATGCCGGGGGACCAGTGCATATTTATTTTGTTTGATTTTTCAAAGAAACAGAAGCTGACATCTGCTGATATACTGAGTGACTTTTCCTTAGTGGGACTTTGAGGCAGGGAAGTTACTTAAGCAGCCAGCGAATCACCAGAGGACAGAGTCTCATCACCATTTAACTATTATGAGTTGCTGAGCAACTGCCAGAGGTCATACTGGTGGGGCTGCCTTCACGCAGCCTAGCATGTGGAAAATAAACGCTAATCTCCTACTTAAGCATGCAGGATGTATAGGGATTATGATGCAATAAACTGCTGCCTGCTGTCCAATCCTGTAGAGACACTCGAATTGGACTCTGATGCCGCACCCTCAGCCGAGCGCGTCTGTGTACATAGACCTCCTCACTACAGCTGATGTTACTTCTGTCTTATCGCAAGCCAATCAGAGGCGCCGCTCGAGGCCCATGGAAACAGCATATCACACCGCAGCCTTATGGGGTAAGAAGAGCAGTCACACTCCGGCCTTATGTGCTAATCCGGGTCTGGTCTTCCACAGTACTCTCAATCTACCATGCCTGCCCTTCCCATAATGCCCCACTGGCTTGAGTGCCCCTATCCGCAGCTGCTCTTGTCTTACAGATTGTCATTCTGCACCTCTTAACACTTCTTTCAGAAACTGTGCCTGGTTATAATAAGCAAATTCATTATCTAAGTCTCAGCTGATGATCACCATGCATTTGAAGTGGAAACCCCATCCAGTTCTGTCCTTACAGCTGATCTATATCGCCTATCATTGATGGGAAGCCCATTCCCTGTCAGGGTCCTAGTGCCTGCAGGGTTTCCACCCACCTTTCAGTGCCTTCTGGATCACCGTGTCAGGCCGCCCCCCCCCCCAACATACCTCCCGCATGCAGCACGGCTGTCATGATGGAGGGGACCCATGACGTCTCGCTGTTGCTGGCGTGGAACGCCATCTGCAGGTCGCTATAGAAGATGCCCAGGCAGGATGGGAAGGCCAGTGTCAGGGCCAGGACCAGGACTGTGGCCCCCAGGACCACCCAGCCCCAGCCACCATCCGGCGCCTCCCACTGGCCGCGCCGTTCCACCTGCGCGGCCCCATTACTGTGCCGGTCCTCCTCTTCCAGGGGGTCCATGGGGTTCTCCACCTTCTCTCCCATCTCCTTGGACTGTAAAAGAACACCACTTTTATTTTGGTGATATTGCTGAAAAGCACCACTCTACACGTCTGCGCAGCCAGCCATCTGCGCAATGGCGTCACGCAGGGGAGCGGCGTCTGCTGACAAATGGGGATCACCGGAAATGCAGGAAGACACCCATCTGCGCAACGGCGTCACGCAGGGGAGCCGCGTCTGCTGACAAATGGGGATCACCGGAAATGCAGGAAGACACCCATCTGCGCAACGGCGTCACGCAGGGGAGCCGCGTCTGCTGACAAATGGGGATCACCGGAAATGCAGGAAGACACCCATCTGCGCAACGGCGTCACGCAGGGGAGCCGCGTCTGCTGACAAATGGGGATCACCGGAAATGCAGGAAGACACCCATCTGCGCAACGGCGTCACGCAGGGGAGCCGCGTCTGCTGACAAATGGGGATCACCGGAAATGCAGGAAGACACATAAACGTTTGCTTCGGTTACCGTGGGCCAGTGATGTGCGCAGACTTTTGGAGGGGCAGGCGCTGAAAGCGGGGGTGTGACCAATCAGTACCTAGGGATCTGAAGGGGGGAAGAGGGCAGACTCCACCTTGATTATTTTTTTTAATGGAGGGGGGAGGGGAACTTTGTGTGATCCTCAGTTATCTAGAAAGGGCACTTGAAACATCATAAGGGGGCACTTTTGTTCAGGCCATAAGGGCAGGTGTCCTTGCCCCTCCCCCCAGCTTAAAATCTTGGGCCTGGCCATCATATCTGCACTGGTCTGCACACTGCCTGGGCACAGACCTCCCTGCAGTGACTCCCAAGCAGACTGCAATCTCTCTCCCCTGGACACTGAGCGCAGATGGTAGCATAATCAACGGAGATATATGAAACATTCTTGGTGCTCTTATACTTTTTTTTGAGGAATCTGTACTCATTCCACTGAACTTCTGAACCTGACTGTGCTAAATGCGTAATGTAAATGTAAATGCATAACCACAACAGATAAATTAACCGTTAGGTTGATGTCATTTATTCTTATTGCGTATTTTATCATTTGGCAGCGTTTTCCTGATTTATATTAATCCGAATAATCCTGTTTGAACGATTAATCGGGAAACACGGATTTAAATTAGCATTTAGCCTAAATCTCTCAGGAGATGTTCAGTGTCGCTGGAGGACACGTCGGCAGAAAGGCAGCCACCCGGTGCACGACGGAAAAGTTCAACGCCAGGGACAAGCGAAGCAAAAACACGTGTCATTAAAAATACACAATATGTACTGGAATATATCGACAGCGGTTCAAATATTTAAACAAGATTACGCCACTCGGTACGCATTGTATTTCATTTACATTTCCCCATTTTTGCAGATAAGCTTGCAAATACTCCCTGGTCTTGCTGAAATGTGAGGGGCTTGTACCTATAGGAACGGGGCGGTCCTTGACAAGCAAACACAAGAAGAGAGCAATTTAAATGAAAAGCGCTGTATGTGGGTGAAATTTTTCGTGAAAGGCGTGTTTTTAAGTAAACCGCACGCAAAAATGCGATCTGCACGTTTGTGATGATGCGACGCCTCTTCTTTATATATAGGATGTCATATTAATACAATATTGATCTAATACACTCGTTGCAGGAAGTTGATAATCAGTTGAAAGTGTGCGGAGACCTGAACAGCGGTGATGTCTCTGTTTTGTAGACTTCAATGGTTAGCACGAAAAAATGTTTTTCCATATCTCCACTTCAAGGTTTCCTGCTTGGCTGAGGAAAGGCACATGTACTGGGCTGCTGAACTGGGTTTAACGGAAAGACAAACGGGAGTTTGAACTGGCTGCGAACTCATTTATTTTGGTCATCCAAGTAATGTACATACGAAGAAATGGACGAATAGTACACAAGAAACGCTGTCTGTATTTAGACGTTTTTGGTTACTTTAAAAAGTAAAATATTGAGAAGAAACGGTTTAGTTCAGTCTTTTCCGTTTAAACTCAGTATTGGTCAACGGCGCTTCGCTGAAGCTCCGAAATTATTTAAACTTAAAATGCTATTTAATTCTTGAATGCTATTTATTTAAAAAAGTGCAGTAAATTAAAGTTTTGAAAACTTGGTCGGCAGCCGCGGCTGTCGGACGGTCCGGCGGCAGACCGCTGTAGGAGGCAGGCAGGCTTGTTTACCAGACGTGTCATGGAGGCTTACTGTGTGCAGCGAGCCGGCAAACGCCGGAGGGACCGCGGCGAAGAAGCGGCCGTAAGGGAAGCACTCACCTCCATCATCCTGGACATGAACTAACTTCGTCCATTTCGCACAGTGGGGCCGCGGTGAGAAGCGGCTACCCAGCAGAAAGGGGTCGAGCTCCTGATGGGAGGAGACGTGTGACGTGTCCGTGTGAGAGAGAGAGAGAGGGAACCCGTCGGTGTGTCAAGGGCGTCAGAAGCATTTTGAATGGGGGGGGGACACTGGCATAAAACTAATGTTAAATATGTGTGTGTGTGTGTGTAAACAGTATGTCTAAACAGTATGTGTTTGCATGGGCGTACGAACCTGGGGTGGGGGGCAGGGAAGACGTGTACAGCCTAATATTTGATTCGGATTCATTCACCCCCAGCTGTTGATTTATACTGATGTTTCTGTATGTGTGTTATGCACATATGACATTGTGGGGTCAAAATGTCCCAACAATATGATAAAAACCTGTTGTGATGATGTGGGGATGTTTCCGGTCCCCACAAAGGGGAAACACAATTTTATATTTATTATTTTTTTTAAAATCAGTGACCACGTTCAAAAAACTGAAAATGTTAAAAGTCTTCTATTTTGTTTGGATACTTATGGTTAACCTAGGCCCTGGGTGGGGGCTAAGGGTGTCATGATTGGAACGTTTGAAATCCAGTATAGCCTCCCGTTGACCGCAGCTCCAAAGTACACAATCAGACGTTCCATTGCCTCACTAACTACAACATTTATGAAACAACTTCCACAGTCCTTCAGCC